CTTCTCTAGGCATTTGTAGGTCCTACAGCATGATTCTATGATGAACTCCTGGCAGATGTTGACCCCAGAGTTGAACTGGAAGACCTGGAGATTCATAGAAAGTTTTTTTCTTAAGAAAAAAAGAATAGTGCCTTTTTATTTGCGGTTTTTCCACATTCACAGGGTTCCTTCATCTCTAACCCTAGTGAATGTGGAGGAACCACTGTACTTGATAAGAGTCAGCACAGTAGTTTAACGTAATAGAGAAATATATATTTCTTCTTTAGTATCTCACACTTTGACACTGCTCTTTGGTCTGCCAATGGCCAGAGGAACAGTTTTATGAGAATACAAGCAAAACATCCTGTAACTGCAATATACCTTCAGGATTTATTCATCTTGTGCTATTGTTTGTATCAAATACTACCAGCCTTGTAGTCTCCTCCCAACCACCAATCCCAAAATCTAAGGGGAGAACAGAAAGAAAGCAAAGAAATTGCTAGCTTTAGGTGGTTGGTAATATGGAAGCCATTGTATAATTCATTTCTCCCTTTGGCTTCACAAGAGATGACAGATGTATACTTTCCAGAAAGATGAAAGAACAAATACTACTTTTGTTTGGTTTAGCCAAGTTGTGGAAGTAATACATAATGATCAACAATCTAATCTGCACTGAAGAAATAATGCAGTTTCAAACATTTTAATTTTCATGACTCCATCCTATGGAATTCTGGTATTTGCCATTGCTGTGGCAGCACACCTCTCTGATAGAGAAGACTAAATATCTCACAACACTACAAATCCCAGCAGGAGGCTGTCAGGGACTGTTGTCAGGGTTCACATATCACTTTATGTTAAGGGATCTAAAAGTTTAAAGATTATCCTTAACAGCTGTGGGTGAGGAATGCAGGGACTTGCAGTCCATCTGGAGGGGTGCATGGTTCCCACTCCTGTCACAGGATAACTGCCATGTGGCTAAGCAGAAGTCACCAATGCCACTTTCTGGAAATGATTCTGCAGATAAAGAGTCTAGCCACCATTTCACCTGTGAATCCAGCAAGATATTTTGGTTGATGGCATCAAAAGAGACTGAGAAGTCCTGGAGGATCTGCAGAGATGTATTCCCCTTGTCTCTCTCCCAGAAAAGATCATCCATCAATGTAAAGGCAATTTCACTGCTAAACTCTGGCTTGAAGGCAGATTGAATGTCAGTATGCTCTGTAAAATGGATAAATACATTCTAAAATGTCTTCTGAATGTTCATTTCCTCAACAATATGTTGTGTACCTGGGTGCCAAAATGAACACTACTTTATTGGACAGTATGTCTTTATGTCATATAAACAACACTTTAGATATCTATATGCCAATGCACAGAGTTTGGGAAACAAACAAGATGAGCTTACATCCCAGCTCAGGAAGGGAAAATGATTTTATAGATATAAGAGGGACTTGATGGGATGAATCCCATGATTGGAATATAACAAGTGAGGGATATAATCTTTTTCAAAAAGAATAGATGGGGAAGAAAAGGAAGGGAGTAGACTTTATGTCAAAGACAAATCCACCTGTACAGAATCCACATAGTAATCAAACTGGACCAGTGAAGAGTATTTGGATAAAAAATAAATGGGGAAATAAATAAAACAATATGAGTTTACTACATGCCTCCAAACCAAGATGTGTTGGTGGATGATGCATTTCTAAAACAGAAATCTCAAAGAAACAAGAACTGGTAGTTATGGGGGATTTTATCCTGATATCCTGTGCCTTACAGATAATTTCCTCTTTCAAAAGGTGGAGGAAGGAATAAACAGATCAGCAATCCTGGACTTGATCCTAACCAATAGGGAGGAGTTGGTCACTGGAATCAGAACAATTGGTACTTTAGGGGAGTAGCCATGTAAAGCTAGAATTCATTATTGTGGGACAGTCCAAAGAAAAGGATAGTCAACCACAAACTTGGATTTTAGGAAATCTGATTTTATCAAACTCAGGGAAATACTGAGCAGAATCCATGCCTAGAGATGATAAAGGAAAAAGACAGCCAGCATGGGTAGGATTTCATGAAGAAGGAATTGCTAAAAGCACAATCACAAACAATTCCATGGAAGAAGAAAAATTGGAAATGCCTGAAAAAGCCAGTGTGCATATATATATATATATATATATATATATATATATATATATATATGCTAGAAAATGATAAAGGAAATGG